ATGGATGGCATCACGCTCATATACGATCCTGGGATGACTCTCCCCGAGTCTTACCCAGAGAATCCATCCCATCAATGATCACGCCCAAGTGATGGCGCTCAAGACATCACGGTTCGACGCCTCCGTACGTGTAACGCACTCATAGGGGTAAAAAGAGCAAAAAAACCAGTCGTCGAGCTGGGCGCAACCGGGGATTCAAGAGTGGGTAATATCCCTGCTCGGCAATTCTGATGGTTAATATGGGGAGCTCATGTATCGCGCTCGGGGAGGGGGATTGATGCGGATGTGGGATGTGCCAGGAATGTTAATGGAAGGGCACCTTCATGCAAATTGCGAGCGAGGTTGCCGGATGTTAATCAATGGCATCCGGGAGACGGCGCGCACTCGCGCAATAAATTCGATATAAAGCAATACCGAACGTTTGCCTAGGGAAATCTCTCTTGGGTGCCGCCGAGCTGGGAGATTCCAATGTCTTGTAATTGCGCTTGCCGTCGAAGAGAGAATGGAGAATATGCGAGGCGAGGCTTCCTCTGACGTCGTTGAGGAGGGCAGGAAAGAAATGAAGCCACCCCAGGATCGCTTGGCAGATTGGCGGTATTACGGTGCCGGTCTCTCAGTAATATATACACTTCAAGGTCCCATCAAAATCAAGCCATGCACGTGATGGAAACCACCCCCGAGTCTTGATCAGTGCTCACAGCGTCGTAGCTTCCATCCAAAAGACCACGTTTGGGAGGGTTTGGGAGGGTTGGAATGCAGGAAAGAGAAGGTAGGATGGAGAGGTCCAAGTGCGGTTCTGGGAGGAAGGCAAGCCCGGATGACCTGGCGGGCTGTTTTGAAGTTTGGCACACGGCCAAGTGCCGGCAGTTGGTCAGCTGAGCTGGAAGAGATCAAGAGAACATCTTTGAACTCCGTGAGTGACAGTAACGTGTAAATATCTCCAAGCCTACAATATAAGGCTCAGAATATTCGAAGCGAGCATGAGGCCAAATAAAGATCTATAATTTGCAGACGTTACAATTGTAGGATGGGAAAATACTGGCAGTTGTCATTGGCGTTTGACACTTTACCGGACCGGGTCCATCCACTACCATCTCCAACCACTAAGACCCGATCTTGCCACAAGTCGATCTTAATTCTGGGTAAGAAGATCTATTATGAGGTAAATCCACCAACGGTGCAATCTCCGGTGTGAATATTCACTCTTATAATTAACCGCCTTTGTAAATCTCTGGGTTGGTGGGAAAAGGCTCCTTCCTATTTGGGGTTTGTGGGTGGGTGGTGTAAGTGATTCGAACCTTGGAGGAAAGCGCTTCCCGATGTACGAAGTAAGGCTGCACAATTGTAGAGAAACATGGGTACTCCTTATTTCTGTAGAGGGCTATACGTATATATTTGGTGGACGAGGGAGCAACTGTTAAGTACATGGGGCTTCCAGCGTACGTATGAGGAAAGCGAGACAGATCAATTGATGGATGTGGGTGGCATGCATCGATGGCACGCAAGCTGGACTCTCTGGCCAAGTTTCCGTGTTCAAACCATGAATTTGGAGTGAGATCCTGACCATGGCGGCATACATCACTTTGCTATTTCAATTTTCTGATACATTCAACTAGCAAGAAAGCGGTGAGATCTGGAGGTACTCCAGGGCGACCCAGCTTAAGTGGACATGGCACGTTGAGCCATGCATCGCAATCCCGTGGTACCACGAAGCGTTAGCTCGTGATAAATGCAACTAGTTTGCAGATTTCATGTTGGGTCAAGTATGATGTGGTCTTTACCAATCGATCCTGTGGGCAAATCCATCGCTCAAGACTTCTCGCAAACTCCTAGGCTTCGCTTCCGCAACAGCAAGCCAGAGTGTCATCGCGAGGGGTAGACATCAGAAATTCTTCTCTAGCTCTGGTGGACTCAATGCCCAGGGAGGCGGTGCAAGGGAGAATGCGGAACCCGATAGCCCCGAGGTCCCGCAGCGACCCATAACGTTGCGATTTTTCAAAAAGCCCTTGGGTCTCTCGCTAGGTCTCTCACTAGGTCTCTCGCTACGATGCAGCAGCCTTTCTACATGCAAGGCGATGGATCCGTCGAATTCACACCTTCTCCACACCACAGTTAGGCGAATTTTATAATGTTATACTAGTAATTCTCAAACATCTGAGTACTGCTCCTGGCCATAAGGCTCTCGCCGCGTTTGTCGGATGATTCCCAAGGGATAATTACCAGGCATCAAGTTGCGGTGACAACCGGCTCATTCCCCGAGAACATACAACATGACCTTTTGGTTAACGGATGTCGCCGACTCTTGGAAACTTCAGTATCCTGGCCGCATGTCTAGTGCGAGAATTGGGAGCCCATCCACGATTATGGTCCGTCTTGTTTCTTTCCTTCACTCCCCACCATCTCTCGCGGGCAGCCCAAAGGCCAATAAGTGACAACGAATAACTGACATCAGCAATGCAGCTTTGCACACTGACAAGGAGGGAACGTAATCCAATCCAAGCTGCGTCCATCGCTTACTTCATTGTTCCGTCTTCCCCGTCTTCCCCGACTCATTGACGGCCTTCTTGAACCTCCCTCGTGCACAGAAGTTGGCGACAATAGTAAAAGACTCTACTATCTCCTCTATCATAGGAACAGGCATTGGGAAGAGTGCCTAGTAGGCATGATCTATTCTCCTTTAGAGCTGCACAAGTTCGACGACGGCAGTTTGAAGTTTGGGTCAGAACTGACCATCTTGGAGTTAATGTTCTCAATCCGGCATAAGTGCCTTGGAGCGTGAGGCCCAGAGGTTCCGCTCCCATTCTACCGAGAAGTAAAAAAACCGCCTGAGGTTCAATAAAAATGAACGACATCAACGAAATCAGACACGAAAATGTCATATTTTGTCTGATGGCCTGGCATTTCTCGAAACGACTTCGTCGTCAGTGTGTTGTGGCTGGCCTTGTGGGGTGAGCCGGGGGTTTAGCGGACAAGTTGACGCGCGGAGGCCTGGATCGGGCGGGCTAGCCAAAATCTAGACTCTGACCAACCACAATCGACGACATTGCTCCTTTTGGGCATGGGACATGGGCTATTATCGACAAGGCAAGGGGAGGGTGTGAAATTGCGAATTACTGTACCCTCTCGGGAATCTGCGGACAGAAAAACTCGGGCTCTAACCAACCCACGAAATGCCGATCAAGTCCATCGAAGAGACGAGGACCCGAACCAGTATTGAAGACGCCCGAAACACATCACCTCGGAAGTGGAAAGGAATCAAAAGGATTCGATGAGGACCAGGCCGGACCCATCCTGATGGGCCGTAGTAGGCTCACCCCATTCGCAAGAGCCAGACCTCTGGTCCAGATCCAGTAGGATTTTGACGAGTGCAGTATTCTTACGGCTTCGCCCGATATTCATCCACGGCCTCATATCGGCGGCGATGCATACATGTAAAATGAGGCGCAAATGTCAAACATCAAAAGAAAAGATTGTTTAACGGAGACAAAGTATAGGTTGCTTGAATGGGGGCTTTCTCGTCGCGGCAATTTGAGTGGGTAACTTTAATCAAACGGCTGTCCTCGACTCCTACCTTGTAAAGTCAGCGACAAGAAGAAAAGGCGCCAGGTATAATGGCAAGGACCAGATCGACATGGACAAGTGGACTGACGCATGTCACGTCCTGTACTTACATGCACGACACGACCCTCGCTTGCATGTCCTTCAACGTTGCGAATCCGCTCTCCTGCAGCATGCATGCCATCTGGACCCATGAGCCAGTATTGCATAACAGGCATAAAACGAGGAAACTTAGGAAAATCATCGCATGGACTATGGCACAATTGCAAAAATGAAGAAACGTCTTTTATGTTTATGTTGATATCAGGTCATTAAGATTCTTCGTGTGTTCTGTGTTGGGTTGGTATAATATAGAATAAGCCTAGAGCAAGACGAAAACCCTTCTCCATAACCCCAGCCACCAATTCGCTGCACCCGTTCCGAGAAAAAGAAAAAGAAATAAATCCTTGTAAAATAAAAGTATTTGGGTAACTTAAAAGCGAGTTCCAAGCTTCGAAGAGTGAAACTGAGCCACAGTTAAACTTGATAAAGCTGGATAGAGAAGAGAAGAAGTAAATCCAAAGAAGAAAACTGGTGAAAATTGAGAAGAACAAGGCATGGGTCAAGTCAACAAGTCCTTTGGGTATTATCCGAAAATCAAGAACAGACAATAAGAGAAGCCACATGCGTAGAGACAAGAAGATTACAAGAAAAAGGGGGGGGTGGCATATTTCCTCCATGGACTATTTGTTTTTCTCTCTTTTCCTGTTAACTCGATTTTCCACATTGGAAGGTTCCATCCCTAACTTGCATTCTGATATAGAGAGAGAAGAGATTTGATGTAGCAGACTGGGTGGGAGAGAAAAGAAAAAAAGTGGTAACAGCGTGAGATAGCCGAACCATGGGAAGGCTCCAGAGGAGACAGAGAGAACATTGAAGCAAGAAGGCCAAATCCTACCCCGTGTCAGAAAATACCCACATCCAAAATCCACAATGCTGCCATCCTTCGCCAAACGCGAAAACTGCAACACAAATAAGCGAGAAAAGGGAAGGGGAAAAAAAGCAACATTTGAGTGTGCGGTCAAAAGACGCCCCCTCCTTCTCCCCTTCTTCGCCCTGGCGCCTCCAAAAAGTGTGTCCTGCCATAGCAGGTGACCTGCATATGGTGAACTTCCCACAATCGGAAAGGGAGGTGGAAAAAAGAATGTGGAAAAAAATAGGGAAAGGAAAAGAAAGAAAAGAATAACCATAGCAATGTGTTCTCGTTGTGTTCTGGCATCAGCGCCCCGTACATCGTTCATCATGCCACCCGTATTCATAAACGAGTGGATCTTCAAAATTGCCCAACCTGCCAACCCATCGCCGTTGTGTAAAGCCGGAAAAAAATAAGAGAGAGAAAGAAGAAGAAAGAGAATAAGAAAAATAACTCAAAGTATTTCTTATTTAGAAACCATCTTAATTCATCAAGTCGTGCTGCCGTATACATGCTGTGGGGCCGTCCCCGTCGATGGGGCAGCTGGCCCTCCCTGGACACCAGTGAAGCTTCGCTTCCTAGCGAGCGAGGTGGTGCCAATGTCGTCGTTACCATACCCGTCGCTGCCACGCTGGTCTTGGCCTTGTCCATGGCCGATGCCAAATGAGTCCCTCATTGGCGTTCTGGTTGTGGGACTCGCCATACTTGCTTGGAAAGCCTGCGAGAAGTCGGTAGGGGCGGTAATAGGGGCACTCAATTGGGGCATCGAGTAGTCTTGCACACCAGATCTCATGCTGCCGTTGCTTCTCGGGAGGGAAAAGTCGATAGGGGCTGTCAGAGGTGCGGATGGAAAGCTTGCCGTGTAACTGTTCGATCCATACTGCGAAGAAGTAGTTCCCCGAGGCGTGGTGGATGCGCCGGGAGATTGGAGAGTGCTGCCCACGGGTCGGTATTGGTTACGAAGGTCGAGCCCTAGTGGCAGAGTAGCAGACGCCGCTCGTAGACGCGAATTGCGGCTTTGAGGGTTGGACTGCACGTTGGAGTAGCTCATAGCAGTCGGGGACTGAACAGTTGTGGCTATTTCCATTCTCGTGTTAGTGGATCCACCTTCAAAATGAGAGATCTTATTTTCTTTGGACTTACTGGAGTAGGTAGAATCATAGCCCATGCTGCTAGAGGTACCACTCATTTGGTCCTGCGGATACACAGACCTGCTTTGGCTGTTGTGCTGGTTCTGATAGGAGCTGTAATCAATGGAGTCGCCCTTCCAAGACATGCTTGATCGTAGGGGGGACTGGAGATTATCGGACCTCGACCTAGACATGGTCTCTCTGAGCTGGAGAGGCTGCAGAGGACGGATGCCTTGCCGGTTTTGCATCTGCATCGTCGAGGTATCGAGACTATTGTGTCTTCCGTAAGGGTTCGAAGTCCTTGGCCCCCCGCTCAAGGGATACCCGTACCGGTCGTTAGGCGTCGGTGAAAGAGGCGATAGAATGTCTGGGTTGCTAATAGTGCCAGAAGCGCTGAAGCCGATGTTACCAAAAGCAGGGCTAAGACCTGTCGGAGACATATGGTCTTCGCCTTCAGCTCGTCGCACATCCACCATCAGCGGGCCTCGCATCATGTGATCGGTGTAGGAAGGTGTCGTGAAATCAACAGGAGAAGTAATAGGGGTTCCGAGACCGTGAACGGCTCCGTACGGTGAATGAAGGGCACCCACGTTGTCGAAGTCGTCCGGAACCGCCCGCATCTTCATCATACGGTCTCGGTCGTCGGCTGTCAAGCGCTTGATCTTGGCACGCCTGCGATATTTGTTAGAAAAGCCCTCCTCTCATTTACTTTGCCTGAAATTCCCAGAGAAAACAAAAGGCTTACCGGTTCTGGAACCAGACTTGCACTTGGCGAGGGCTGAGGCCCGGAATTTCGCGAGACAACCTCTCTCGGTGGGCAGCGTCCGGATGGGGTTGCTTTGCAAATTCGCTCATCAGAAAGCGGGTTTGCTGGTGTGTAAGCCTGCATAGTCATTGCGTTAGCGCCACTCCTTCTCCATAACATTGTGCCCAAGAAGTTTACCTGAAACGCTTCATTTTCCTCCTTTGAGCCGTCCTCTCAGCAGCTGTTTGTGGTTGGCTCTCGCCACCTTCCGCACCGCCCATGTCATCATCATCAATCGCTTCATCCTCATCTTCTTTATGGCCTGAAGCCTCCATAGGTTGTGGGGCCTGCGCCTCGGCTCCTTGGCCGGCGGAGGAGACCGTTGTGAGAGGGTTGATGGCCATCGTGAGGCCCGGTGTCTCAGTCGATACGAGCGACTCTTCTGGGGCGGATTCTGAGGGCTTCTGGCCGTACTGGTCTTGCTGCGGAACCTCCTGCTGGTCGGTTACAGGCGTAGAAGTCTTCGCGGAGCGCAGGCCCAGGGGATCAATAGCGCGTCTGTGGTCGAGGCCGGGTGTCGAACTTTCCTTCGAGTTGATGTCCACCGGGCCTATGGCGTTGCCATTGGTGGTGGCGCGAGCCTGGGAAGCCTCAGCGTTGTCATTGCCAGACTCAAATGACTGGGAAAAGATGTTGTTTTCGCTGGGGGGCAGGTACGAGTACTGCCCCTGCCAGTCCGGCTGCGTTGACAATGGGGCGTCGAAGTGGTTCGACATACGTGGTGAGCTAGTCGGCTTCTGGTAAGTGGTCTCGAACTTGCTGAAGGACCAATGACTCTGCTCAGTATCAGAATGCCTAGAAACGAGCATTGGGAGTGATTTTGTTCTATTTTCTCTAGATCGTAAGCGACTGGTCGAGGATCTAAGATCTGTTTTCGTTCCTGCCCGAACAAGTGGAAGAGCAGCTCATTCGTTTTCAACAGAGCGAAGGAGCGTCGTCAGGTGGAAAGAATGTGCTCGAGATGTCAGGGCGCAGAAATTGTTGGATATCAAAGAGCTCGGATGGCAAGCATGCGAAGTCCCTCGGGCTGGTTTATAGCAGAGCCGAGGTGATCACTCCGTTCCAGTAGATCTCAGCAGGGTATAAATCTCGGGGAAGGAGCGATCCCAGGATGGAGCGGTTGTCAGGTGAAAGAGAGAACAAAACGGGCAAGTGTGCGATTGAGGCTTGGTTGCGCCAACTAAAGTAATCCAGAATCAAGAATGGCGAGTCTTTGCAGAGCGTGATCGCAGATCAAACGAGCGAACGAGATCGGCTGGCAATGACTAGAGGTTTGAGGGTAACGAGGGGCACATAAAGGAGGCTAAGAAGGGAAGCGGGGGCCTGTAGGAGCTTGTGGGAGATGGAGACAGGGAGAGGGAAGGTGGAGAACGTCGGTAAGGTGGTGCAAGCTGAAATCCCAGATTGAGTTGATATGCAAAAACTGGTGATCAGACAAGACCAGGCGTGACAGGTAGAGAGATGACTGGGAGGTGAGGCACGTTGGCGAGATGATGTGATAACTTTTGGGAGAAGAGCTCCAGTTGCCCTGATGATAGGAAGTTGGAGAGATATCAAACAGGAAGGAGCCAACTGAGTCTGAGTCTGGCTGGGAGCAGCTTGAGTCCTATTGATATCTTCTGAGATCGAGGTAGATGGGAGGAGGAGCAAGATATGTATATGTCCCACTCGTACCCCAGGTTCCGCGAGGTAGGGTCGTCAGGTATGTAAGAAACTCGTGGGTGTCGAGGACGAGTACACACGAATGGATGGGTGGCTAGTGGGGCCGATGAACTTGGAGGGGGGGCGCGCCGGAAGACAAGCAGTCTTGGAAGACTACTCACGTACAGGGATCCCGATATTGTATGGGGAACAGGGACGGCAGAAGGACAAGAGGCAGTAGGTAGTAGAAGTAATACCCGCAAGGCAATGGAGGGAACTCTTGTTCATAAGTACGAAATAGGTGGAGTGGACGTGGGATCAATACCGACGGCTTCCCGTCAATTCAACGGAGAAATCCACATGCGGCCTGCAGGGTTCTGGGATAGTATCAATGGGGATGGGGCGAAGGTCCACGACTATAATAAGTGATGGGTGGACGGGCTGGGACACAGAGTCGCCACGGGAGTACCTTGTACAAGTACCTGGCCGAGTACCTCGACCGATCAATGATTGAACAAAGGGAACAACTGCCTCGAGACGCGATTTGGACACTGGCCCGCTCCAACTAAGAAAAGCCGCACCTTAATGGATCCCTAGTATAAGAGACTAGTGTACTTCGTAGTGATATCAAACGGACCTCGAGCATGGCGAGTTGCTGAGCCACATGTGCCCTTTCGTTTTCTCCATCTCTCTTCCTTTTCTTGTTGCCAACATCAGAGCGGAAAGATCCTTTATCAAAGCGACCATGACCATGAGACTGTCGGCTGAATGGCTAATGCCGCTTCAGGGTGGTTGTAAGATCAACGCAACTCATCCTCTACCATACTCGATCCAGAAGCTCAACTGGCCGTAATCAACCGATCGGGCTTCGTCAGTGAACCTTTCGGCTTGCCCAAGAGTATATATTTAGGTGAAGAACAGGGCAGGCTTGAGGCTTCTGGTGATGTCGAATGATAAGATGGTAGAGGGCTGAAATGGGGTCACGAAGCAAATGGAGATAAGTTTATCTCTTGATCGCATAGAGAGACTGTCTGCAGAGCGATCCCAAAGGTTTTCCACCTACCAGAGCTCACGTACTTTGAATCAAGAAGCCTAGAGAAAAGCAAGGAGAGGAGGGCCAATGGGAGATGGGAAACAGTCCGACGCGAAGCAGAGGGTGAGGCGAGATCATAGGTTAGCTCCCCACTTGCGCAGTGTTAGCGAGCTTCTCTCCACTCCACGTACATACAAGGTAGTACTGGAGTGTACTCACGTACACCTCTCTCCCCATCAAGTGTCGCAGCAAGATGGGGTCTGGGAGCCTGCTCCGTACCTGGGTACGTACCTCTCCCGTCCCTGGGCGCACTCCTCCAAAGTAGCATCGATCTCGGTCAATTCACACAAAGATACAGGTCTCAAACTTGGGGGAGGGAGGGAAGGCATGGCAGGCATGGCAGGCGTGGCAGACAAGACAGCTGTGGGATGCCAGACGACACTGCACGGCGGAGAGAGGTGTAAGCTATCCCGGCGGCTGGGGAAAGACAAAAGCCCAAAGAAGATGGATGGGGCGTCTCTTTCGAGTGTGCATGGAGATGAGAAACTGGAAGAGGACCTGTTGGCCGAGAAAACAAGGGACATCGCCATTGGCCAGTCGCGGGTCTAGCTTGGTTGGATCCCGCGGATGAACGCATGACCGTTGCTGAGACTGCCATGGCTTGAACCAATAGGAACATGAACGGACTGCTCTCTTGGGTGAGGTCTTCCTCTGAGTATTTTATGGAGAGGGTGTGTTAAGAGTGGGAAGAGAACATGAAGGGAGCGATCGAAGCCAGGCAGGGAGACAGAGGGGGAAAGAGGAAAGAGGATCTTTGGATGTGAGTATACGAAGTACTTCGTACTTCGCTTCATAAGGTGTGGACCAGGGAGTGGGGTGCATTGCCAGGTACAATTGCAGGTCCTCAGAGGGGGTGGGCTTAGACGGCAGGGGTAGCGAAGATGAAGGGGGGTGGCAATTGGCCTGGTCTGTCCTTTCGACGGGGGTACATCGTCCGCCGCCTCCCGCCCACTCCTGCTCGACCTTGCAGAAGTATACGCATCATCAGGTACCCTTGACTATGAAGTAGGGCTCACACTGTTTCTCTCCCGTTGGCTCATCCGGTTTTCGATCGTTTGGCGGGTGCTAGAATTTTACCTGTTTGGGGCGGGGGGTGTAGTACTCAATGTGGTATTTCTCGAAAAACCATGCTACCTGCCGGTGTCCAGGAAGCTCGTGGCGGGAAGAGTGAGCCACAATGTAGAGGCTGCCGATACGAATGTAAGTGTACATGCGCAAGTCGACTTGCGTAGAAGTCGTTTTGCAGAACTCGAGGTGTGGTGGTTATCTGGGACTCGTTGACAAGGTTAGAAGGCGGGGTGAGGGTGAGGGTAAGGCCGCAAATAAGGTATGCAGAAATGTAAACGATGTGAAGATCGCAGGCCGATCTCTCATTCCAAGGTAGGGAACTATCTGCGCCAGGGCCAGGAAGGCAATCGGACGTCATACTTGGTTGCAGACCTTGAGCTCTGCGCAGGATGAGATGCAGAGAAGAATATCGACATCACATAAGATTGTACCTTAATCTCATGTACACTCTAAGATGGTGCGTCCGTCTAAAGCATTTCATGTACATACTTCATACATACTTCGTACATACAAAACATGAAGTCGGAGGGAGAAAAGAACACGGAAAGATGGAGGAGGCACAGAAGGAGATACACTTGGTCTGGCTCACGGCAGGAATGATGTCTGGCATCGCCGAAGCATAGAATACTCGCAGGAAAGGTGTTCCGTGTCAAGTCTCGCCCGGGTTAAGCTGTGGGAGAGGTCATCGGCGTATTTTTCCCTGCCCCTGTTCCCTGCCAGGGCGCACGAAGGTGCCACACCTTCTCGAGGCAACGCTAAATTTGTTCTTCTCCAGTCGTGTCGCAGGGGGGGAACGGCACTCAGGAAGCCCTGATCGCCTAGTCAGGCTAGCTCGTCCTGTTCATTTTTCTCCACCTTTATTTCCCTCTTACACCAAATATGTTCGCTTGAGCGACAACGCACATAATCATCAATGTTGGAAGGGATGTCAGAAATTCGGTTGGCCTCACCCCTTGCGATAGATTCGAAAGAGGCTTCGCCGAGATGGGATTTCCCTTTTGTGAACTCCAGGCCAATACAATTGGTCCAACCCAGCTGTAGAGGTCACGTCCAACAAATTGGAGGCGGCGGACGGGCGGCCCAGACGCGGTATATCTCCACGTGTTCGACCATACAGGGTCGTGTCATCGTTGGTGTCACGTCATGCGATCCAAGGACACACGGACGCCTGTCTCGAAGCAGCAGTAGCTTTTGCAGATGAAGAGGCAGAGAGACAGAAGTGAGTTGGAGCTGGAGTTGGTTTGGGGATGACTCTCGTTCCTGTTCCTGATCTCGTTCCTGCTCCGGTCGAGTGGTGATATCCGCCCCTCCTGCAACAGCAAAGGTAGTACTACCCTCTTCTTCCGGCTTACCTTACGAGAGTGTACAAAGGTAGATGGGTAAGACAAAAGTACCGCAATACAGAGGGGGGGGATGGTCGTGATGGAACTTGGAGTATATGTCCTCTCTAATATCGGGTCTGGACTGGACATCAAAGCTCCTAGAGGAACAGCTAGACGGTGGATTCAGTTTTGATGGTGGTCGTTAATTCTCCTCATCCATGGCGCGGTTATTTCGCCCATGTTCTCCACTCTCTATTCTGAAATCGAAAGGGGGTTTTCTCGATCTCTGCATTCGATTTCTAAACGATGTTGGGTCTGGAGGTTCGAGGTGGGGGGGAAATGCTGTTTTGTCTGGTACCGCAATTTATAGGGGACCAGGTGGGCTGTGCACTTGGGTCTGGAGAACTTTTTGAGCTTGCATTGTACCCGACGAGGACTTTAGTGCTCGAGTCGAAAGCTTGGGTGTGACCCGTACTCGACAGGTTCCATCGCCGAGGTTGGGATTTAACACGGCTTTTCAGAAGAGATCGATGCAACAATATATTCGACAGGAACGTTAGCGTGCCCACTGGGAAAGCTCGCCGAATATGCCGTAGGCTGTTGGGACGAGTGCAACGCCAGACTCGACACCTTTAGACTCGAGTACATCGAGGCCCGAGGGCAAGTAGGGCACGGGTGTAGAGAC